CACCTCGCCGCGAGGGCTGGCACCTGGTAGAGAGCAAAGGCCCCGCGGGTCGTGCGGCGTCCGGGGCGCTTGTGCTCGGGAGGCTGTTCTGAAACCCTCGGTGAACCCTCTGCTGACTTCGCTCGGGTGGGTTTTTCTCTTTCTCGTTACAGATGGGGAAACTGTAGGGAATTTGTATCATGGCAACAGATGAGGATGGACTGGGACTGCTTGATATCCGATACAGCGGTAAGGGGCTGCGTTGGGCTGCGTTCTGCCTTGCAGGGGAGCAGCGCGCCTGCAACTAGGCCCAAAAGTGCTCCAGAAACAAAAATGGAAACCATTTTAATTGCACAGTTGCAAACAAAACAACAACGAAATGCAGCTGTAAATTATATGTCTACGGCACATGATCTTTGCAAGTCATTTTGCATTAGTAAGTTTGGGTTTGCAACCACAACAGTGTTTTGGATTTCTTATATGTTTTTTGAGATGCCTGAATCAGGCCTCTTGCTTTTGTTTTACTGTGTATAGTCCAGTCTTTAACTGTATCTTAGGGTGAAGCCCATAGCTGGACACATTAAGAGTCTTTTTTCCTTAGCTCCTATTTGTAAGAGCAAAGGTGCTTTCCCCTGCTACAGTGCAAGCCCCTGAGTTGCCGTAATGTTACTGCCAGCCCCGTGAGTGATTGTGCTGATACATATACGTTAGGTTCCCAGCCTCGGGAGGACTGTGGATACTGGCATCTTTCTTTACAATAACAGTGCTTTTTGCAGAATGGGAGAGATTCAGATAGGGTGGATGAGAACAATGAGGGACATCCAAAAAGAGATGAAGACTCTCAGATTAGCGTGGAGCATAGGACCAGCTAGTGTGGTGGTAATACAGCAATTTTTTTGACTTATGATACAGACTATTGTTTTCTGCTATTTACTGAGAAGTGTTTCTTTCCCTAGTGATTCTATCATACTGGTACTTTTATCAGAATTTCTGGAGTTGTATATCTTCCAGTTCAATATTTTAGAAAAGGGATTCAAACTCAGCTGAGGTTGGCTTAGCTAGTTTATAATTTAAGTTTGCATCTAAAACTTGAAAATTTCTTGTATGCTAAATTCTTGTAAAGCTTTTTTTCTTCACAGAAACAGTAGCTTGGTGGGTAGTTTCCCTTTCTTTTAGTACTCAGTGTCTGCTTTCCTTTATTTCCCATGGTAGATAAATTTCAATACTCCTGTAGGATCGTAGCTGTGCTCATTTTTATAGGCAAGTTAGACTTATTAAAAGTTTACATACATACACATGTATCTCTATATGCTATTTATTTATTTATTTTTGCTTTATTAGAAGCTTCCCCATTTAAGGAAGATGATGAGAGCTCAGTGGATATTTATGATGGCTTGGACAATGGTTTGACGGCTCCTGGTAGGTTGAACGAAACTTGTTGCTTGTCTCCACAGAATCACAGAGTGGTTGAGGTTGGAAGGCACCTCTAGAGATCACCCAGTCCAACCCCCCTGCTCCAGCAGGGACACCCAGAGCACGTGGCACAGGGTGGCATCCAGGCGGGTTTGGAAGATCTCCAGAGAAGGAGACTCCACAACCTCTGTGGGCAGCCTGTTCCAGTGCTCTGTCACCCTCACAGGAAAGTTGTTCTTCCTCTTATGGAGGTGGAACTTCCTGTGTTTCGATTTGCACCCGTTACCCTTTGTCCTGTCACTGGTCACCACCGAGAAAAGTTTGACCCCATCCTCCCTATATTAACCCCTCAGGTACTTCTATGTTTTGATCATATTCCCTGTCAGTCTTCTCCAGACTAAACAGCCCCAGCTCGCTTAGTCTTTGCTCATATGATAGATGCTCCAGTCCCTTAACCATCTTAATGGCTCTGCTCTGGACCTTCTCTAGAAGCTCCACGTCCCTCTTGTGCTGGGGAGCCCAGAACTGCACCCAGTGCTCCACATGTGGCCTCACCAGAGCCAAGTAGAGGGGCAGGATCCCCTCCCTCCCTCAACCTGCTGGCAACACTCCTCCTGATGCAGGCCAGGATCCCATTGGCCCATTGGCCACGAGGGCACATTGCTGCCTCATGGTTAACCTCTTGTCAACCAGGACTCCCAAATCCCTCTCTGTGGAGCTGCTTTCCAGCTCTAGTCTGTACCAGTGCCTGGGTTATTCCTCCCCAGGTGCAGGCCCCTGCACTTGTCCTTTTTGAACCTAAGGAGGTTCCTCTCTGCCCAACTCTTTAATCTGTCTAGGTCACTCTGAATGGCAGCACAGCCCTCGGGGGTGTCGACCATTCCTCCCAGTCTGGTGTCATCTGCAAACTTGCTAAGGGTGCACTCAGTGCCCTCATCCAAGTCACTGATCAACAAGTTAAAGAGCACTGGGCCCAGTACTGCCCCTGCGGGACACGACTGGCCACAGGCTTCCAACTAGACTCGGCCCCATTTATCACCAGCCTCTGGGCTCTGCCATCCAGCCAATCCTCAATCCACCTCACATCCACCTCGTCTTGAAGCTTTATAGTGCCTCAGTGCTTCTTAGGCTGGCTGCAAGCAAGACACCAGTTATCTATAAATTTGCCTTTAGCTAATATTAATATATTTTAGTGACCTATTTGTTTGAATTCAAGGTATTTATCTTATAGGTTGTACATATACAGCTGAGGATTTTTAATTCTATTAGGCGAACTATTACAGCATAGTTGTCTTCTGATACTGTTTTAAGAGCCTTGAAGCATGTGTTCATAAAGAGGTACAGAGAAACCTCAGCTCTTCTCACAATGCCACTATAGAGGACACTTTACCTTGGTAAAGGTACTATCCTCTCATGGCTTTTAAATAGGTTCAGCACCACATCTGGAAGTCACTGATCACTAAGTCAAGGCTGAGAGCTACAGTGTATGCTGTCATTGTTATGTGGTGTATTCAGTATGTGCTTTCTTTGTTACTTTCTCAATAATTTCACACATAAACATAAATTAATTTGGTGTTCCCTCTTTCAAAAATAGGAGAGAAACAGACCCAGATCATGTTCTTTTTTAAGAATCTTAGTGTAAAGTTTACCGAAATGCAATTTTAACGCTCAGGAAGCATTTGTGTACAGGTCTGTTGCTGCGAGCGCTGGAACAGGTTGCTCAGAGAGGTTGTCTGATCTCTGTCTTCGGAGATGCTCAAAGGCCAGGGGTCTAGGCAACTTACTCTAGGGATGCTGGGTTAGATAATCCATAAAGGTCCTTTCCAGTGTCTGCCATTCTTTTATTGAATATTCACAGAAAGGCTAGACTAAATCCTACAGATATAAAACATATGCTCATCTCTTGCTCTCTTTTTCTTTTGTTACAGTATATGAGAATATGTCCCTGCGTATGCAGGGGGGTTGGACTAGATGATCTCTAGAGGTCCCTTCCAACCCTAAGCATTCTATGATTCTATAATTCTATGAATATATTCAATATTTCAGGTACAGAAATACATTGTTTAGTAAATTCAAAAGACGTAAAAAGGAACCACTTAATGCAATGCAAGCATCTCATGGATTACAAATGATTTTACATGTTCTCTTGTAATGTTTAATATTCTTTGCATTATGTGTGGTGAACGGAGCACACAGGCTGATCATGAAAAAACACTGACAGCAAAGTAATTCAGTGGGAGTGTTTTTTTTTTTTAATTTCTCCAAAACTAAATCAAAGAAGTAAGATGGAATACAGAATAGAGCAAAGAACAGTTATCAACACAAGAAGCATTTCAGACACGTGGCAGACAGTCCCCTACCAGCTCTACAAAAGTCCATATCCCCCGTTTCCTTCGGATCAACTGATCTCTCTCTGTGAACGTGGGTGCCGCTGGCGTCCGAGTGTTCTTTTTCTCAAGGATGTTTTTCAACTGCAATTCTTTAAAGGCTAAAACTGGTAACAAAATAAATGACTTGCAGAATGCATATATTTCTTCTATAGGACATAGGTTTTTGCTATCTCCTGGCACTAGTTATGAAACTTTAGACCACATCTTAGATGTAGCCTTCTGTGCTTTGTAAATTAAGTAGGTTTATTGTAAAATAGCTTTCCTTTGATTTAGAAGAACACACCATCAGACTGTCATAGAAGGCACCCACCTTTGCTTGTGGGTAAAATCCTATAAATCTATAATTTTTCTAAATTGTCATCCTTACCTTTTATATGTTTGTATATGGATCGTGTTTTTCAAATAAAACTACCAAAAATGATGAAATTGAGATTAAGAATGGGAATTTCCTTGGGTAAGGTTTTGTGTTTTAGAAGTCTTTTTCTCTATGGCAGAATGCAAGCTAGCTAGAAAAATAGCTTTTCTTTTATGTAATTCTTTTGTTTCTATCTACAGACAGTTCTGCTCCAAATTCTACACCATCTGGAAACAGTTTAAATTTATTTGATGAGATATTAATTGAAGAAGGAACTGCAAAGGAAGCATCCTACAATGAGGTGGGTATTAATATTGCAGATACTCAAGACCTGAAATATATGTATATATACACACAAAATGTGCAAAAAATGTCTATCAGTATGCTTACATTACTGGAAAAATAGGGAAACTCTTCCTAAATATGTGAATAAAAACAAGACTGTCCTGAGAAACTTTTACATCAACAATTCTATTGTAGTAAGTAAATCTTTCACTCTAAATCTGGTCTGTCCTCATATATTGGCCCTTCGTATGCACTTTTATCACTGGCGTTATGAGAAAAAATTGTTGTAAGTGTTTTTTCTAGTTAAAGGTCTGTTCAAATTTTTTGACGATGAGCTGATCTTGACATTTCACCACGGAATTTTAGTAGACATAGGCACATGGGCCATGGCGTGATCTGTTTTGTCATTAAGTTTGGTCCTCAAGACTGAAGACAACTTTGCAGTAAATAAGTGCTTCTAACAAATCAGTAGAACACTTATTCATGTAGTATCATGTATCCTGCTGCTTAAAACACATCATAATTGCAAACCTGACATTTGGAGTAAAAAAGCAAAAATACAGATGTAAAATGGGCTATAGAAAGAGCAGGAGTGAAATATCCAGAAATCTACCAAGTGATGAGAAGTCACTTGGGAAGTTGGAAAGCAGTTTTCTGTCAGCTATGACAATAGAGAAATGTGATCCATTCCTTTGTGAAAGCTTTGTAACTGTCTGATTTTAAAGAAGGGCTCATGTCAGAAGTTATATTAATGTTAAATATTTAACAAGTTGAAGATCTCAACAAAAGCATGCACTTCTATAGCCGATTTTGAAGTTTATTTTATTTTTTATTCTGATTTTCCTCAACTGTTTTTTATTATATAAAACCTGAAAAACAAATTCTCTATCCTCTTGAACACACAAAAAACCCACTTTGTTCCTATGAGATGGTTCCTAGGAGCAGGTTGCTCAGGGGACTTGTGGAGTCTCCATCCTTGGAGATATTCAGGCGTGAGTGGAGACAATCCTGAACAACCTGCTATAGCTGACCCTGCTGGAGCAGGATGGTGTTGGACTAGACAGTCTCCAGAGGTCCTTTCCAAACCCAAATATTCTGCAATTTTGTGATCTGTAGAGCACTGAGGGCTAATTTCCTGCCCCTCAATAATCTTGTCTTTAATTTCACAATAGTGCGGCTTCCTGTTGCTGTTGTGCATTTACGCATAGATTTCCTCTTAGACAGGTGCCTGTGACATGTTAGTGACTTTAATTTTAACTTCTGTAGAAGCATATTGAGGTTTTCTGTTTTAATATGGCTTTATATAATACACACACACTTTTGGGGGTTAAAAAAAAATAAAAGCTTTAGAATATAAAGCTAGTGTTAGCTAACTACTCATGCAGTTAGTGTTAGATAAGTACAAATTTGGAGGGGATTTTTGTTTGTTTGTTTTTAATTAGTCCACTTCTATATTGTGAATCCTTCTTTATTTGACAGTTACGGGCAGAGTATGGAAAATGTCAACAGCAAATCAAAGAGTTGATGAAGAAATTTAAGGAAATACAAGCACAGGTACTGTGTAGTTCAGAGAATAACATGGTCAAGGTTTATGTAAAGCAAACTGAATATTTCTTTGAGAAAAAACTAATTACATATTCTTTGCAGAATTAATCCATTCTGTGGGGATTTCTAGCATACCTGACAGTTGTTGCTATTAGGGTAGTTGGTAGGATATTATACTGGCAAAATAAGTACATGAATTCACTTGTTTTCTGATGTTGCATGCAGTAAGACAATACTTGCTTGATTTAAAAACTATCTAAAACTTGATTAAAAACTGTCATTGATTAAGTCTTTTGTCTGCTTAATTAAAAGTAAGCATATCAAATCAATAGTTATCAGAAAGGTATCTATTTTTTTTGTTGATAAGAAAGGTGCATTTTGTGTTTGGCACTGACTTTGGAAGCAACAAATTGGGTAAAGGCATGAAACAAGGGGAAGGATTATACTTTCTCAGCCATGTGGTTACTTGGTTTGTGACTTATTTCAGTTTTGATAAATTTTATGATAAGAAAATGCTAAATAATTACCAGGATTATAAACAGCAGCAGAAATCTGAAGTTGTTTCAGCTGACTTGCACTGATTTTCATCTTGTGTTTGGATTAATACCCAAGCTAATTTTCTTGTTTGTTGTATATATTTAAAAATAGAACGTCATTCTACAAAATGAAAACCAAGCTCTTAAGAAGAATATTTCTGCACTTATCAAAACAGCAAGAGTGGAAATTAACCGAAAGGATGAAGAAATCAGTAACCTGCATCAAAGGTACAGCTGGACAGTGGCATTTTACACATTCCTGTTGCCCTGTCATGGTTGTATACTTGTTATAAAGCTGCTGCTATGTTAAGTATTGAAGAAAATTGCTGTTACTAAATGATTATCTGCATAATCGAATATTGGTGCAATCAAATGAAACACATGTGTGTGTTTCTTGCTTCATGAGGTCTTTGGTTTCTATTTAGGAAAACGAGGAATCCTGAAGCATTTGTCTGAACTGTTCTTTACTGTGGTTTTGCCACCCATTCTGTTTGGGTTGTTTAACTGTCTTCCATGTAGCTTCTGAAGCTTCTTTCAGCTTCAGAACACAGTTTCAGACTGAATTTCATGGAAGCTTTTTTGACAGTAAATGAAAATAAGTACAGAGACTGTAATGGTGAAAGTACTCTTTGCAGTGGTGGAAGACAGCATCCAGAAAATTTTTGGTAACTTCTGTGAATTATTAATCTTTTTGCAAGCTGAAGAATAATACTAGGTTATAGGTGGCAGAGCAGCTGACTAACATTTCTAGACTGTTTGAAACTAAGCAGTGAGTCAAAATTCGGGACCCCTGGCTTCTCTTCACAGAATCACCTGCTTGTCACTTATGTGAACTCAGCCAAGTCATTTGGGTTCTTTTGTACTTCAGTTTGTCAGTTTGATATTTTCTGCCACCAGAGGTGTCATAAGGAGAGAGGTTGACTTGACAGATAATTCTTTCAGTTGGTTGGTTGTGACAAGATTGCTTCACATCTCCATGGATAATTTTCCAGGGCAAAAATTAAATTTCTTGAACAATGTGTTCTTGTTTTGAGTACTCTAAGCAAAGCGTTTTCAAACTTAGGAAGCAGTCCTTATAGGTGGGTAGACTGCAGAGGTCATATCTTTCCAGGAGATTGTTAATGTTTATCTTAGGAATATTTGGATATAGTTACACTCACATACTGTGAGTGTATGTTTAATTGCCAAATGAAAGCTGTGTGCATCTCAAAATTAAAGAGAAATACAGGAAAGGGCTTTGGATTACAGCAGTAGCAACGTTGATATAGTTCAATGTGTTTTTTGCGTGCGTGATTTTTTTTTTTTTTCTTCATCCATGTCACCAGACATGGATTAAGTGCAATTATTCTTTCGAGCTGGTGTTAGTAGTGTGTGTGGAATACTTTGAATATGTGAGAAAAGTGTCTTTTTTGTCTGGTGAGACAGTTTTGGTGCATTTATCATTAATGAGTTCAGGCCATGCAGGCTGCGTGTGGCCTTTTTTATTATGATGACCTTGCAGCAGTGTCACGTGGCCTTGATGAAGCTTGATTATCGTAATTTACCACTTGTTTTCCGTAGCTTGAAGCAAGTTCCAAACACAGTGGCTTATTTGTCTTTTGGGTTGACTAAGCACAGTCACATTATACCTATTGTTTTGTCTGCCGTTTTTTACGGAGTGAATTATTGAATTGCTGTGATTTTTAAAATCACTAATGTATAGAACAGCTTCTTCTAGGAGAAAACTTTCACTGGACAGTGAAATGTTAATTTGAATTAATAAAATTGATAATTAGACCAATATAGCGTTTTTCCACTGATATGATTTTTCTCTGTAGATGGATTTTGTTTGGAAAATATGTATAGAAATAATTGGGATTTTGTTTGTTTTTTTGTTTTAGTCAGTGCTAATGGAAATTATTAAAATTCCATTTTATTCTACATTTCCTTCAACTTCAGACTAGAAGAAAGACAAAGGTTCTTTATAAGTTGACTTTGGCTATTGTTAAATAAATTTCAAATATCTACAACGACTTTGTTTCTCTTTATAAACAGGCTGTCGGAGTTCCCCAATCATCGAGGTAGCTTTGGCAGAGCACATTTTCCAGGATCAATTAATGGAAGGTGCTTCGAGATGTGTAAATCAAAAGAGCCCAAATTCAGGTCACCTGATGTAGGTGACAGTGTAAAGATGGATCATAGAACGAAAAGTGACTCTACAAAAGATGCATATCACAATTGCTCATCTCATAATAAGGACAACGGGAAGTGTAACTCAGATAAAAGGAACAATCCTTATTTACTGAGATACCCTCCCGAAGAGCTCTGCAATGATGGTGCTCACACAGGTCTCCCAAATTATGACCACTGCTCCAACAAGGATGGTAGGAAGGAAAGAAAAGAAATGAAAAATGATGAACAGTGTAGCAGGGGAAATGACAACAAAAACAGAAGAGAAACACATCAGAGCACTGGTAACAATATTGATAGCCAAGATTCAGATCCTCATCAAAAGCTGAAAACACTGTCAGAGAAGGCTAGTAAAAATGAGTTGCAACAAAAAAGTCAGAGTGCAAAACTCAAATCTAGTCCAAGTGTAGAAAGAAGGGTAGAAAGGGGTGCTTCTTCCTGGGAGAAACAAGCTACAAGTAAGGAGAGGTTTCAGACAAGAGGTGAGTTGTATGCTGATGAGAGGTCACAAAACATGACCAAGAAGGACATTAAAACACATGATAAAGAAGAAAAAGGCTCTGGACAAAAAAATAAGCCAAATGAAAAACAGCAGGAGCAATCAAGGAGGTTTGGTAGAGTCAGCAGTCCTCACTCAAAGAAGGAGCATTCAAAGAACCTACATGAATCGCGTAAATGTCGCATGGAAGAGTCTAGAAAAGGAAGAGACTCTGACTACAAGAGAGAAAGAGGAACAAACGATCATACTTCTCGAGAAGGAAGGTCTTCACCTTCTAATTCCAGCAGTAGAGAATATAAATATGCACGCTCCAAGGAAAATAGTAGCAGATATGAATGGGAAACTGCACATTCAAAATCAGAAAGACACAGAACTGAAGAAAAAAGGAAAAGAGATAGAGAGAGTCAGGATGAAAATAGACATTCTAGAAATGAAAGGAAAGTTGCAAAAGAAATTTCTCACCAATCTTCAAAAGACTATAAGAAAGGTGCAGATGTTGCAAAAGATGAGCGAAACAAGTCTCATAAGCCGGAAGAGGCATCCAAAGTAGCAGATAGTTTAAAAGACCATAAAGCTCCCAAAAGCAAAGATGATCAAACTGAAGGAGAAAGCAAACACTTAAAACTCAGCTTTATGGAAAAATTAAATTTGACTCTTTCTCCTGCTAAAAAACAATGCCTTTCTCCAATGGATGGACTTGAAACGCCTTCCCAAAAGGCCACTGATGATGGAAGTATAGAGCTTACAGTGCAGACAGAAGCAGTGGATTCTGCTAACTGTGATCCTGCAGAGCAAATTCATTCACCACTGGAAGTCCTGGACAGAGCAGCTCAGATCAGCCTGCAACAGGCAGCGCCTCTCTCTCTGAATCCTGCTCATGAAGCTGTGCAAATAGCAGCAGCAGCAGGTCCAGCACAGCCTGAAGCGTTGGCGGCAGTGGTGGCTGGTGACAGGAGCCTGGAAGCCTTACCAGAAGCACAGAAGCAGCAGAGGGTCAGGTACAACCCCAGGCCTTGATGGGGACAGCAGAGGTACTGGTTCCTGGAGAAGTGCAGGCTGAAACTCCAGTAGCAGCAGCAGAGGCTCCTGATGTGGTCGAGTCTGAAGCTTCAGCAGCAGCAGTGGCTGCGATGGGTCCTGGTCACGCTGAAGCTCTGGCTCCGGAGGCAGCAGGGAGTGTCGTGCAGCCTGGAAGCCTGCCTGGAGCAGCGGGTGTGATGCAGGATGACAAGGTGCCAGCAGCAGGACTGGCACCTCCTGAATCTGCCAGTGAAAGTCTGGTGGCACTTCCTGAGTCTGTTGCAGAGAAGGAGGAAGAAGATAAAATATGGCTGGCTACTGATAAGGAAAACTCAGAGGACCAGCAAAGCTCTCAAAACCTTGCCTTAGATGACTCAGAGGCCAGAAGATCTGGTGACTTGGAATCCTGTGGTGTTGCTGGTGATACTAGGGAAACAAAACTGGACTGTTTAATGGAAGTAATTAAGGATGATGATCACTTGGCTGCAGAAAATGTTGAGTCTTCTGTTGAGAAAACAAATGTCTGCAAAGATAACATTAATACATCTCAGTCACCTGACAGAACTGTGCTATCTGATAAGGATGCACCATTAGTTGACCAGAATGCCTGTAATCTGGACCCAGACTTATCTGAGATCACAACAGCAGCATCTTCCCTTGGTGGTGAGACATATCCTAGAACTAAAGAGCGAGAAACTAACCCCATTCCTGTTGATGATGACAGTTCAATACTGAGCATTGATCTCAATCACTTGAGATATATTCCGAAGGCTATCAGCCCACTCAACAGTCCAATGCGTCCTTTGGCTAAAGCACTTAGGATGGAAAGTCCCTGCAAAGGTCTTGGGAAGAGCTATAACAAAGGTATTTGTGTATTACAACTTCTTTCGTGCATAAATGTTACTTCCTTTTATGTGATTTCTCAAACATACATTTTATTCCTGGAGTATGCTTTCATAGAAAGGAGACGTTACTTCCTTTTAAGTGATTTCTCAAACATACATTTTATTCCTTATGCTATATAGGTCATGATGGTTCTTTTTTCTTTGGTTTGAAGTGGATTCATTTAGTAACATATTCAAGATTTGAGCCAAACTGAATGTTAATACTTGCCAATTTGTGTTTGATCACTACTTACAGATAAGTGATTGAAACAAGAGTTAGATACAAACTTCTGAAAAATATAGTTGTCTGAAGCATGGTGGCTTTTGACTAGGTGTCACTATGTTTTTCCTATGGGTTTGTAGGGTAAGTTATTTAGAATCAGATAATTTAGAATCAGATAATTTTACAGGTGTGAGTTGGTTGGAAT